CATACTCTGGAATCGCCTTATCAGGTGACAACAGTATGCTTTAATGATACTGGCGAACAAGTGATTTCCGGTGGTATTGACAATGAAATAAAAATTTGGGACGTACGCAAGCAACAACAGGTGATGCATAGATTAAGAGGACACACCGACACTATTACAGGCGTGTCTTTGTCACCAGATGGTTCATATTTGCTATCCAATTCCGTGGATAACACTTTACGAATATGGGATATTCGTCCATATGCGCCGGGCGAGCGTTGTGTAAAAATCTTCCAAGGCCATCAACACAACTTCGAAAAAAAATCTTTTACGCTGCTCTTGGTCTCCAGATGGCAGTAAAGTAAGTTAAATTAGATAAATTATAAAACAAATGCAAAGAGAATATATTTTCTAGATATCTGCTGGTTCTGCTGATCGCCATGTTTACATTTGGGACACAACAAGCAGGCGTATATTATACAAATTGCCTGGTCACAATGGTAGTGTTAATGATGTAGATTTTCATCCAAAAGAGCCAGTGATGTTATCTGCTTCAAGTGATAAAACTTTGTATCTGGGTGAAATCGAAGATTAGACTTATGTATATGTATTATCGGAATATTAAACTGAAAAACAAGGTTATAAATATTAACTATTCTAACATTTACAAACTCCTTTTAATGCGGTATCACAAGTCACTTTCAATAATAAAAAATAGAGCATTTCATTAAAAACTCGTAAACGCCTCGTAAACTCACTTATTTTGTATGGTTTATTTACGAGGTTTACGTGCATACGAGGCATTTACGCGTTTACACAAATACCCATAATGAATTAAATCCAGATATGTGCACGAATCTTAACCAATTACAATTCACAGAAATTTAATAAAAGCGAGTCAGATTAACCGAATTAAGGAATGGTGAATACGATCTTATATTATTTTCATCAATTTAAACCGGCAGTGTACTTGTTGAAGATACTGTGCTCTTAAACATTTTTCCGAAAAATTTGATGCCAGAAGCTCCGCCCGGAACAGTGCTGACGATCATAAACAGTAGGGCAATTATTTGCGCCACAGCGAAGAGCACCGTTAACGCTGTGCTATGTACTAAGGCGCAGTAGAGCGTTGCTATCAACGAGGTGGTGTATGTACAGGACACCAGCAAGCGCGGCTTCGAAAAAGCAGTCTTGATGAAGGCACCAAAGCCCGACAAAAAACAAAATCCTAGTATAAAAAACATGCTACTTAGGGAATAGAGTAGCGCAAATTTTTGGGCTTTTAGTATTAACACCGGTATGTAGAAAACAGAGATACTGAAGCAAAGCGCACCTAGCCCCAAACAAGCAACAAATCCAACAATACGTTGCAGACGGGACTGCAATGGAATAAAATATTTAGAAATAAGCACATGTTATAATAATTCAACGACAATTATTTACCAATTTAGGACAACAACTGTCTTCCGTTTCTTGTAACCAACTGTTACTGGGTTCCGCTGGCTCGGACCGTGTAAATAGTTTCCCTAAATCCGGAACCTTAATTTGTGGTATTTTGGCACTGAAGTTTTTCTTCTGGTCGCTCTGTAACAACAAATATTCATCTAGATCTTGCTTTAAGTTCGCCATTTTAGTATTGATCTGTAAAACTTTGGCACAGATTACAGTGCCACGAATTTGTTTATTTTTAACTATTCACACAAATGTAGAAACACTAG